CCGCCCTCTTACTAAGACATGAGTGTAAATGCTGCAAAATGGTAAGCGTGTAAAAAAAATGACGGTGTCTGTGTCACCGTGGTGTGGCGGCAAACCTCGCAGCGCAGCTGAGTAGAACCATTGGTGGCACTGTGCACACCAGAGGGTGCTGCCGAGGCAGCGCGGGGACAAGCTCTGTTTAGGGAGATATTTGAGACAGTGGCATTGTGTGCGACAGTGGGTCACGGGGCTCTGAAGTTGCTTCATGAGGTGTTACCCTCATTCTCCAGGGCCTCCTCTCTTGTCTCTGCAGTGAGAGCAAACTTCCCCACTTCCCCACGGTGCTCTGTGAGGATAAGCTTGCCCTGATCTAGGATACCAGGATCTGAGTCCCACCTCCTCTCCTCTCTTCTCCTTCAGGCCGGGCTTGAATGACTTCACCCTTGCAGTGGAGTGGCAGCTGAAGAACCTGCAGAGAGAAGGGCTGAAGATGGTTTTTTGCAGTAGCTCTCTGGCAAGGCGCTGGTGCTCTGCTTGGGAAACCATACAGAGCTGGGCAACGTGAGCTCTTGTCTGCCACAGCGAGCCCGGAGCTGCATTTTGTAGCACATACACGGGCAAGAAGCTTGTACAACGAGAGGCTCACTAACAGGCAGGCTCTGATGAATGGCAGCAGATTGCTCACCTGCTTGGACCCTTTCTGCTGCCAGTCTGTGTCCTGTGGCTTCTTTCTTGGGGTGATGGCAGCAACCTTTTTGGCTTGCTGCTGGCATGACAGGACACTGAGGAAAGGGATTGGCAGAAGGAACTGTGGCTGAATGTTCAGGCACCCTCGCCGTGTCCAAGCCTTCCCGAAGGGAGGAAGGAAGCTGAGACATGGTATATGGAGCACCCCAGTGTCAGCATGGAGCGGTAACACCCAGATAAGGAAGCTGATCCAGTGCAAGGCATAATTACTTTGACTGCAGCCCAAAAGGGGCGGCAGAAGCCAGAAGGCCTTGCCTTGGCCCAGGGCACATGTTTATGTGCCAGTGCCATCTGATGTGATGCAAGAGCCATCTCCTTATTGCTATCCTCGAGGCAGCCTGTTTGATACCTGCCTGCTCCGTATCTGTCCTCTTCCTCATGCTGAGGGGCTCAGGCTCCCACTGAGTTACTGTAGTGGTTGAGGTGCCATTGGCTTTAGGGTTGGGAGCACCTTGCCAGTGGATTCCCCACTTTGCCGGTCCCCAGGGAGGTGGCTGCAGGGCTCTGTGAATGGACAGGCGGGCCGGGGGCCGAGGAGGCGTGAAGGTTGCTGGAGGAGAATGAGTGCTCAGGGAAGGTGAGGCTGCAGGTTTGAGGGCTTCTTTAGCCTCCCTGTAGGCCCAGCATCTCCCCTTTGCTCTTGCAAACAGGGTGCACGACCCCATGGGTGAATGGTGTCTCAATGAGGGAGTGGTGGAGAGCATCGTGTTCAGCTAAGGGCTCCCTCCATCCGACCTTTGCCAACCAAATGCTGTCCCAACCAACAGTCTTGGAGATCTTGGGGATGCTGGAAGGTCCCAAGTGGTGGCTTTTCAGTTGTGGCCGGTGGCTTGGCAGGCTCAGGTTGGACATGAGCAAGGAGCCCTTCTCTGGGAGGGTGTCACAGCCCGGGAGGGGACACTGGCGAGCTGGGGGACCTCTGTCCTTGTGGGGCTTCGTCTGGACTCCAAGCTGGGATCCCTTCCCGGTGAGGGTGGCAGGAGACCAGGAGATGTGTGTGGCCGCAGCTGGGGAGCCCATGGGTGCAGAGTGGCCCTTGGCCTGCGCTGGGTCCCTGGGGATGTGACAGCACTGCCATGCACCTCGGCTGCATGTAATGGTCGGGAACATCCTGCGCTCATGTCCAAACTCCGGTGGCG